AAGTATTCTTTAACCACTAAAGCATCACCTAAAGAGGCAGGGAAACCTCCCCCTAATTACCTGGAACATATTTAAATTCCTGCTACCAAACCTGAATGATGGCTTAAAATTTCAGAAAGGCCAAATGTTATGAGAACTATTAGCATGACACCCGTGACTTCTTTTCATGCGGCAGCTTTTGTTAGGTTATTTCAAGAGTCTTTTAGGTTTTATATTCATTCTATTGCAACTTCTTGTTCCTAGAACTCACTGAAAACTACACAGGTATTCCTGAGTTTCAAGGGGGAAAACAAAAAAAACCCCAGCACGTCAATTTTAAGGCAGACAGAAGTTTTTGACGGCCCCTCTCCTTGCCTGCAAACCACTGAGTTTGCAACAGCACGCCCGATCAGCCCGAGCGCTGCTGAGAGCATCCATCTCCTGTACGGGGATGGTTCACGTGGCAGTTCTGCTGGGATGGGATGTGCCCTGGAGCGGCCGACATTGACTGTCTCTGGCTAGAAACACCTTCCCTGGGAGACGGTGTCCCAGGAAACAACACCCTACCGTAGTAATAGACAGAGACCTAAACCAGCGAGACCTTCGTGGTATTACTGAGCAACACGAGGAGTTACACACCGTTTACTCTGCTCCAGTTTGTATGCACCATTTGCCTGCTCTTTCCTCCAGCACAGTATAACAAATGGATATGTAGTTGTAATCTACTCTTACCCCTCAGTAACATGCAGGCTAATTTTTACTTTCTCCGTTCTCATTTTTTTCTATGCCCATATCTCTTTCTCATACATCCTCTATAAAGGTTAGTAAAGCCATGACCACTGAACTTATAATATTCACAAAAACTATTCCCATAAATCGAGTTTTTCAATCACGGGAGAAAGCCTCGTGGGAACACACACCCATCCCTTACAAGAAATGCAATTTTGGCAGCACCAGCTATTAAGACTAATCTATAGAATTCTGCTCATACTCAACTCCTCTAAATTAACCTACTTGCTATATGTAGATTTCTTATGCTGGGACAGATAAATAAACAAACACAAAATCATTAATTCTTAACAAACGCAAAACCTACCATTGCTGGACAAAGAAGTTCCGCCTGCAGATTTGAAAGTAATAGCCAGGTCCAAAAGTTAGAAACGCTACTTTTCTCCGAGACGATTAGAAGGCGAGGTCTTCATTCTCCTGCTCGTACTGTGAAAGGGCGAGGGGCTACATCCATTTCCTCTGCCTTCTCCTTCGGCCTTTAATTCCTTCAGCTGACCACACATCAGCTGCATCCATCAGAGTCTCCTCCCACCTGCCCTAAGCTCCTTACTTTCTTCATCCCTGAATTATTCAACCACCTTCTCCTCTCCATAGCCCTACCACATTCTGCATCATAAAGTGACAGCTGTCCCGTCTGTAAGCACAATTTCCTGTAAACAGAGGGTATCGGTAGTGGTCTTTTTAGGGGCATCCCTAAGAGGTTTTGTCATCTCTAGGTCACTGGGCTAAGCTGGATCTCTTGGCTATGGCATTTCCCTCTTTCTTCTTGATTTCTCCTGGTCCCTCTGAGGCTGATGAAATGTGATGACCTTAGGCACCCATTGCTCTACATTCATTGCTGGTATTGGGGAGGTAGGGTTAGTACCACGACTCTGGAGTGTCTCCTGTAAGAAGGCTGCTAGCCGTGGCCTTAACGTATGGGAATTCCTTTACATACACTTCAGCTTTCACCTGAACATTTGGAAACATTTATCTCCAGTTCATGGTAAAGCAAACAGAAAAATGATCGACTAGGAAGAACGTTCTTCCAGCTCTCCGTACCAGCTTACAATGCTGATCCCGCGGCACTCAGCCTTAGTAAGAGTACAGCGTAGCGTGCCCAGGGCTTGGTACCGGGCGGTGGCTTTGGGCCAGGGCACATTGCTGGGGTTCTGAAAAATTCCTCTCGGTTACCCCAGTGCTTAGCCCTTTGCTGCTCTCCGGTAAGCGTTGTGAAACCTTTTTGACTCCATCAGATTGAAGATGTGCAAAGTTTTTAAAATGTACAATGGAGTCCACTAATACATTTGGGTGTCCGTTTTTTTAATATAAATCTTTACAACCTGTACGACTGCCTAGGGCTGTTCTCCGTGACCTCACAGTAAGGGTATCGCTTGCCTTGCTGCCCAGCAGGGATATGCCTTTTGTGTTAATTACGAGTAAGCATAGTTTAGAAGTCAATGCCGTCTAAATGACTTCGTTTTTGGTGGTTTCTGATTCATGATTTACTACTGTCTTAGCCCAAAGACTGAGTGTGACTTTTCTGCATACTATCACTAGTAAAATGCATTTCAACTCACATAAAACTACTACATGCCAGGGGTACCAGGGTTAAAACACAGGGTATTCTGCTTTGGTTGCAGCAGTGCCTCATTTGAATCTGCCAGGTTGAAGTGGATGCAAGTATCGAAGCAGATCCACAAGCGCATCCCGTCTGTTCCGGGCTCCCCCGCGAACAAAAATGAACCTCCGCTGTAATTCTTTCCGTGGAAATGTGTAAAGCACTGGGAACATGCTAAGCAAACTGTACCTCAGCTCATGTAAAGCAACTGAAATTCTAAATTAATTTTCTAATGATTTGCAGTCCTAAGTGCATTATAACAGCAGTTCTTGCCTCTACCTCAGCCGTTAGTTGCTAATACAGAACAGTATTCGACAAATACTGTCTTCACTGCTGAACCCCCAAAAACGGAGGGGGAGAAGACAGCACAATTCTAAGATTAAACCAAGTTATATTTTACCTGAAGCCTTGGAACCCAGTTCTTAATTTGCACAATTTCTTACGTAGCTGGGCACAGCAAAAACCTTGAATTTACAAGGTATTTTCAAAACCGCTCCCTCTAAATCACAAACCTAGTATCGTGTCACGTTCCCTTTTAGCGAGGGTGGGTTCAGTCTGGGAGCCCTCTCCAGGTTTAACAGAAGTTTACAGCAACTCACGTTTGTATGGTTGATTGTTTACAGGCACTGGTTGACAACAGCATACAAATGATTTCATTGCCTTCAATCTTCTTTGTTTCCAAGCTCCCCTGCATGGTCTACGCCTGCAAATAATCCACAATAACAGAGCAGATGCTGTTTATTTCCTTTATTTTCTCTGGTTTTGCTACATGCAAAAGTCAGAAAATACTTGCTTGAGATGCAGGTAAGAACATCCTTGTTGAATGGCTTTCCTTCTTGTGGTGTCCTTAGCAACCTTCGCACTTGTGTCAATAACTGGTTGGAGTTAATTGCACATAATTTCATAATGAACATGAAGTGAAACATCCCTATCTTCAGCCTACTGCAATACATACAATGTGCTAACTACGATGAATTAAACAGTACAGTCTTGGTTTTTTGGTTTGGGGTTGGTTTGGGGTTTGGTTGTCGGGGTTTTTTGTTGTTGTTGGTTTTGGTTTGGTTTCGCTGGTTCTTTGGTTTTGTTTTTTTTGGGGGGGGGAGGTCCTCAAACAGGAGGAGTCTGTACTTCTTTAAAGGTTCAGGAAAAAAATTTCAGTGAAAGATAAGAATCTTTATTTTAGTGAAACATTCATTACTTCTAGACAAAAAAAAATATGTTTTTAAGTAAAAAAAATGTTTACAGAAATCAAAAAAAAAACCCCAAATAACATAATTTCAAACGTCATTTTTCAGCACATGAGAATCCTTGTTATCTTACAAGTTTAGTAATTGCTTCCTACTTATTGAAATTTTTTCAATGAATGGTAGATAAAGGACTTCAAATTTACATATAGATACACATTGCTGTGTGCAAAGACCTGTCTTTTTTAGGCACATTCATTTCAGGTGGGACAAATTGAAAACTTCCAATTGATCCTATCTCTTACAGAAGTCTTATAGAGGTGATTTGTATCAAACGTAACCAGAATCCAATCTAATAGTTCTTTATTTTCAGGATCTCCAAAATGACAAGCCTACCAATGTTTGCCAACCAAACTGTGGATACCTGAGTTTAGGTGACACTGCTGGCACAGAGGGGTGAGGTGGGGGGTGGTGGTGGAAAGAACCCAACCCAACCCAACCCTTGTATATAGTCCTCACTGGCCTGCACCAGTTATCTCCTGGGTGAGCTGGAGCTTTTCCAGACACAGATCCCCCATCACTAGAGAGCTCAGGGACCAGGAGAAGCCTCAAAGGACACGGAGTTAACAAACGTGAGTGCCTTGGGACCAGGCAGTCAAAGGGTGACCTTTTATGACATACCATTATAACACACCTAAGACCAGATTGGTCTATACCAGCTGAAGGCAGGGGTACTACTCCAGCCCAGAGCTGGTAAAAAACTAGCATTTTTGTGAACTGTAACCCAATGCCTTAATTTATTCCCCAAAGGACCAAATGCACACAACACGTCCTTGCAGCAACTGCCTCACCGTTCCTTCCTTTGTTCCCCGGAATCTAAGTGTGACTTTGTCCAGCAGTTCAGAAATTTACAGGGAAGAAATTTTAAAGCAGTCTAGAGTGACCCATCAGTTTAACATTTCTCATTTCAGTAATATTTTTTCCCTTTGACATATGCTTCTGCTTTTCCACAGCATAGAAAACACCCAGCTCAGACAGCAATACCTAAAGCTTGCTTGAATCGGGAAGCGGTGCCTCCTCGCACATCCTTGCAGCACAGCCTTCTACTACATGCATGGTGGGACCTCAGCAGATAGCTTGGGGCCGGACACGTTGCTTTTTCTGAGAGCAACTAACCAGTGGATCCTAGTAATGAAGGGAGTGCAAAAAGAACCCTCAAAAATATATCACCAACCATGCCGAGGCAGAAAAATATTTTATTATCAGTTATCATTAACAATTAAGAGCATAAAGCACCTGGAAGCTTTTTGGATGCAAGCAGTAGGAAGCACACAAGGAGTCCTCATCTGAAATGTTCATAATCAACAAAGTTTTGGGTAGGAAAACAAACATAAAAATAACTCGCAGGAGAGGAGAATGAACCTGGAAGGACACAGATTTCTAGGACCATGCCCGACCATTTGAATGAACAATTCACACTGCTGGACGTTTCCTTAAGGGTATGAACACAATTTGGTGCAAAAGCATTGAAATCCAACGGAAATTTTAGTCCCAATGACTTGACTTAGCTTCTTGTAGCCAGCTATGCTCTCAGCCCAGTCCCCACAGAGAGCTGCCAAAGTCTTCGAACGCAGAAGTCGGAGCCCCTGGCAGTCTGAAACGTGCCTCTGTTTCCCAAAGCACTTCTCTCTCTCACGTTTTGTCAGTATCTCCAGAAGTGCTGCTACAAAAAGCTGAGCGCAACAAGTGACGGCAGTTGGCCACCTTGCACGCTGGTGTGCTGACAATGAGATGACACCAGAGTGTTCTAAACCCCCAGTAGGAAATTAATATTCATTAGCCAACCCAGACTGACAAGCAACCGTCACAGAGAATCTGTCCCCAGAGTTAAACAGGTTGTGATTTATACATATGCACACATGTATTTTAGGGGAATCTGAATTGACAGAATCGCACATAAGACTCCTATGCCAGCCCGTCATTCTGATCTTCCTTCTCTTTGCTTTTGTTCTTGTAGCCCACCATTGGAGAAGATCCGCTAGGAAAACTCCACAAGGTGCGCGGTGCAGCGGCTGACCGCCGTGCCGAAGGTGACCCTGAAATAAATCGGCATTTCCTAACTTCCATAACTCCCAAAGAGTATTTCCTTCAACCGCACCAGAGCCTAGAGCCCAGTAGGCTGTTCAAGGAATATTAGGGCAACAAAATGTCATTCCTGGAATAGTAAGGAAACAGCTCATTTTGTACTGGATAAATACTTTTTAGTCAGGTAGAATAGAACAGTTTGAAGAAATACTGGTATGTGCTTAGAAAAAGCTACACGTGCATTTCAAATACCTGTGTCTTTCACCCACCACTGTCAAATCAGATAATTTTTCATTCAAAAATATTAAAAGAAAAATACTTTTCTTCAGAAACCTCTTCTGTATTTTTCAGTTTTCAATATTCTAGTAAAAACACCTGTATTTTCCTAGGTTTAATTCTCAATTTCTCTAACTTCCTTTCTTCTCTATTTTCCCAGGAAAAACAACAGCTCCCAAAAAGCCTTGAATTTAAGAAAGCACAAAGAGGAGCGAGGTGGTAAGTATGGGAGTGAGGATTTCTCCATTATAAAACTCTTGAAATCTTTGGCTATCATCATATTTTTATGTCTGTGTATATATACATTTTTAAATATGGAATGTTGATAACCATCTGGGTCTGAAAACACAAGGAAGCATATGATGACCTTCATGACTTCAGGCCATTAGCAGACACAAAAACAGATCTTGTTTATTTTCTTAGTAAAATATTGCTTCTTAGAAGCTTTGTGTAGCATTACAATGGCTTTTAAATTTTCTTTTCATTACAGTAACATTCATATGGCTGCAAGGAGGTCTGCTTTTCTTTGTGCTCCTACACTTGTTCTGGTTAGCGACTACCAGCGTGCAGTTGAAAATGGCTGCAAACAGCCTTGTCTCAGCATTTGCTTGAATCGAAAAGTATTATAGTTTCCTCCATCCAAAAAAAAATATGGTATTTTGGTTTTGTAACCACTTCTGTTTGTTGAATTTTTTCAACCTTAAGTGCATTTTTCCCCTGCTGCAATGATTAAAAAAAAGTAATCAAAACGCTCTAGATCCCAGTAATGTCAGACTCACGTAAGAAACCCAGTTTCAGAAAGTGTAAATACCAGTTTCTAAGCCTAAATTTTGCTCTGAAAGGAAATTAAGAACTTGGCAGTATTTCAGACTTACCATATATTTTGGTTACATTTTCCTTATCATCATGATCCCCTTCAGTGTGAAGTCATTAGCTCCAGAGGAAGTATTCTCTACAGACAATTAAGAAAACTGGTCTCTCTGGTACGGTCTGTGTCTCTTGACACCGGACTAGTAGACCCAAACCGTATGAAAGGTGATGCTCAAGGCCCCCTTTGAGTCTCTGGAAGCCTAAGGCATCCCAGGCTTTTCTGGTTATAGAGACAGGCAGAAGGCACAGCTATGATTGCCTAGGAGTAAGCATCTAATGCCATTTGAGATGCCCAGGTAACCCGCCTGGTCTCTGTCTACTACTCCAGAAAGCCGCTGGTCTTCTCTGGGCAAGGTGCCCTCCTAGCCAGCCCCCTCGCAGTATGGCAGCTACCCCATGACATCTCACATTCAGCATCTGCATTCAGGGAATTCAACCCTATCGCGTGTGCTTCCATCTTAAACCCAAAAAGCGCACACACAGGGACTGTTAGTCCCTGGAAAACTGGACTAGTTTTTTCACAAGAAAATGTGAAACCTGGAAAAGTCAACATATTTTTCTTTCTTCCTTTAAAAAAAAAAATAAATCAAGTACGGGCTTAGTCCGAGATGACTACTTATCAGGGCTTCACAACTGTTCTTCAGTTGTTTATTCAACCATAAACTTATTTATTACATCAACCACCTAAATGTTGTCAGGAAAAGATGAAGATGGGATAGGAGCCAACGACCCATCGTAGTGTTGACCTGTTTAGGAAAAAAGATCACGGGGTACAATTCCACCGGGAGGAGGGGTCCCTGACGGGAGGCAGTCTCAAACAGACCCTTGCAGAAACCTCAAGGAGGGAAGAAAAACTTTCCCCTTGCAAGCGCAAGGCAAAAAGAGCCACTACGTGCACCTGAGCCAAGGGAAATCCCCATCCCTTTCAGAAAGGGATATGAAATATCAGGCAGCACGGCTTCCAAAGGGGATTTGGACTTGAGAGCCCTCTCTGCTCTGTTGGGGCCACCATAAGGGTGACATCCAAGGGGTACGCTGCAAATGGAGTCATCGTGGGAGAACCACCAATGTAAAAACCAGACCCAATGAAAGGATGACTGTCAGAAGCGAAAGCCTGGCCAGGGCGATGCCAGACACTTGACTCTGGGCGTCAAGGCAGAATTTGTAACCCAAAACTCCAGTAGACCCAGTGAGCCGTACAACACTCGGTGTCTGGGGAGCAGTGCCTTGCACACAGCAGCTGCAAGGAATCAGTTAACTGGGGCCTTCTCGGAAGGGCAGGCGTTTTGTTCTGTTACCTGTGGGCTGATGAAGTCAGTCCCCTGCCTCACTCAGAAGTGCTGTGTAAGCAGGTCACGGCAACCTAAGTTTGTGTTGAGATAACAGTGATTGTGGTGTATTAAGATAACTTGTTTGGACACGCAGTGATGATGTTTCACTTGGCTAGACCATCACGCCTACAGGTGCCAGATAAAGACAAGGACAAGTTGTAAATGTCACCCTTTGTACTTTGCTGTGCCCCGTTCAGGTGCAATCCACCCACGGCGGGATTTGGAACATAGATAAAAGCAGGAGTGTTTTGCTTGGGAAGTGAAGGGGAGGGTGGGTGGGGAGTGAAAGACTAACTTGAGGAATTTCTTACTTCTTCCATTCCAGATGTAGTAGGTTCATCTTCGGCTCTCATAATTAGCTGGCACACAGGCTTTGCTTCCCAATGAAGGGCTTATCGTGTTGGCAACAAACATGGGTGCAGCAGCCTCCACACAACGTCACTCCCGTAAAGCTTTCACACCGAACACTGGGCTGCAGATCCCCCTCCCAACGCCCAGGAACTACCCGGGATCAAGGAACTACTTCTTTCCTCCCTCTTAGGAGGTGATAACTGCTTCAGTCCAGAACCTCCAGTAGGACATTCATTGTGCTGAATACAGAAAGTGGAAGAGCCTCTCCTGGAAATGATCCTCACCTAAGGCAGAACAAGGTTATATCCAATGAAACCATTTCACTATGGCGTGAAAGAAAGCATCCTACAGAGCAAAAGCAGACACAGAGTTCTCTTGATGAAGCCATACTGGCACCAGTGCCACCCCTTGACCTAGACTGGGACTGGAACTCCTGAACAGAGGTCTCAGTCCTCCAAGTCCAAAACAGGTTTCTGTTTTCCCTCCTTGTTTTATTTCACTGTCAGAAATGTTTGCTACAAAAGAGATGGCCCCTGAGGCAAGCAATAGCTCCTGGAGTTACTAGACTGTTTCTTTTCCACTCTGTAGGAGAAGGACGTTGTGCTTTTGACAGGGTCCTGGAATTAAGCGGACGCGGAGGCGTAGGGCAGGGTGGAAATCCAAGTAGTAAAAATCACAGGGTACAACTCAGTCCTCATGTCACAGAGGTGACCAAACTGCACTTTAGATGGAAACTTGCCATCCTGTACTTGGAAAGGCTGCAGCGAAAGGCTGCCTGCCCGCTGTGAGGAGGAGCGGGGAACAGTGCCATGGAGCTCCGCTTCGGCCGCCAGCGGTGGCGGGACGGTTGCTTTTTCCTTTTACGCTCTTCTTGCTTGAGATGATGCCTGGGAGAAAGGCACAACTTCATGCGACTGAAGCGGGGAGAACAGCCTCCAATGTGGGTGTAACTCGGTCTCTTCTTAGAAGCTCAGGACTAATTCCCTCAAGAACAGGTCACGCGGGAATCCTTCACCGTGTATAACTAACTGTCACATCTGTTAGGGCAACAAGGTGACCTTTCATGGCATATCAGCCACTGACTGGACCTTGTCAGGAAAACTGGATGGCTCTGTCACCCTGCTACCCGCGCGGTGTCACACAGCCTGCAGACATCCCGGGGAGCAGCTGTCCCTCTTCCCGCATCCCGCCAGTGTCACAGCAAAAACGGAGGGGAAGAGAAGGGGCGAAAAGAGGAGTCACAATGCAAGACAGGTTGTGAGTTTTATGTGAAATTATCTCGTGAAGAGGGCTATAGAGTCTGAAGGAATTTAACGTATCCTGTACATGAAGATTTAATCTGTTTGTTAACAGGCTTTGTTCCTTCTTGTTTCTCTTTGCAGTACTCCAGAAAAATTCATCAGAATCAAAGCAGCTGAAGACGAGGCAGGACTTCTAGCGCTTGACCTTGGATGCAGTGACACGAAGCGCCGACAGCACGACGGGCAGCCCACTGATGCCGTGAGCCCCCCAGTAACGGGCTGGGTCTCGCAGCCGGTGCACCAGGACAAAGGGGGAGAGCCCGGTTTGGTAACGCTGGACTTCCTTGGATGGGGCCCCTCTTGGGAGGGATCTGCGTTTGACACGGTTGTATGCCAAGTTCTGCCTCTCAAAAGGGAGATCCGCTTAACAGATCTAGACTGAAAAGTAAAGCTTTCTCCTGTGTTGGCATGCTAAGGGACCTACACATACCTGACTAACGGCCACGCGGACAAGTCCTCCCGGGACCCCTGTCCATTTATTTCCATCACTGGGACCACGCGAAGCACCCAGTGGACATCCCACCCGGTGCCACTGACACAAAACATGCAGCAAACGCGTCCTCGCCAGCCCAGAGGCAAAGGGGGTGGAGAGAAGCACTGCCAGACAGGCGGTGAGGAAAGTTGTTTCATTCCCAGCCAAATGACTCGGAGGAACCAAAGGACAGCGGAATCTGTTGCCAACTTAGGGCAGCACGTAGGCGTGCGTGGCCCGGGCACGCTCCCACCTGTCCTGCAAGAGGTTACCCCGTCTAAACGCGTCCTCGCCAGCCCAGAGGCAAAGGGGGTGGAGAGAAGCACTGCCAGACAGGCGGTGAGGAAAGTTGTTTCATTCCCAGCCAAATGACTCGGAGGAACCAAAGGACAGCGGAATCTGTTGCCAACTTAGGGCAGCACGTAGGCGTGCGTGGCCCGGGCACGCTCCCACCTGTCCTGCAAGAGGTTACCCCGTCTCCTGTGCCGACACGCTCGTACACCCGCGGGGTGAGCACTCCCCAAGACAAGGGCCTGGGGAAAAACTGTCTGTTCGTATCAAACCAAGGGGCCACGCAAAACACCTAGAGTGACTAAAACGAAGGGAGAAGCCAGACATCGTACACGAGTCTTTTTGTTCTCTCAAGTTGCAAGAATTTGAATGGGATCCTTTTAGCTAGAGAAATTATGGTTTGCGTTACACCACGTAGATCTTTTCAACGTGGATCGGCAAAGAGGCATGGCTTGGGAACAAGAGAATACTTTAATACCGTGTCAAAACCTGCCTGTTTTTCATGAAACAAGTCGTGCTTCTCTATGTACTGATAGTCCATGAATTTACAAAGCCTTTTGAAAATAACAAGGTCCAGATTACATAAATAGTCAGAAAAGAGGTTAAGACGTGCACTTTTGGCAAAACAAACCATCTCCAGGTCAAACAGAAGTTCATAAATTATTTTGATATAATTAGTCATTTGCAGGAGCCAAAAAGAGCAATTCTTACCATCGGACTTCCCGGCATAGCCAAATAATGTTAAATCACTTGCAGCAATGAAGTGAGCAACTCGGATTTCCTCCCTGCGTTGCCTCCAGGCTCACACACTGGAAAGGTTTCCTGAATATACAGCTAATAAAGTCATTATATATGTCTCATGCCACACCTTAAGTTTTGAGGTGCAGATTCAGCAATGAGTGCCAATTGTCACACTGTCACAAGTGATCCCAAGAGAAAAGCCTCCACTCTCTTCAATAAACCTCAAAGTGGACCCTAAAAGCCAAATACAAAACTCTGCTCTGCTTCAGTAAGCCCCAAGTTGTAACGCTCCCGCCAAGCATAATCCCAGTTCGGAGCTCTTGGAATGCCATTCTCACGCACGTACACGAGGACGGAGCTGCAACATCTGCAAATTCGGCCTAGATTCTTAGCTAACGTAAATTGGGATAATCACATTGCCTTCAGCAGAACTAGTTTACACAAGCTGGGACTGTCACTCTTCAGTTAGTATACATCTCTTTGGAATATAATTTCATCACTTACGTAAATTTAAACCAACCGCTCAGCCAGAGGTGTCTGTTTCACAGGGTCAGAAAAGACCCCAGCCCAACACACAGAAATATATGTCAAGGCACCCCACAGACACCTCGCTCCTCTGGGGCGAGGGGCGAACTGCTGGGAACTTGCTCTTGCCACCACCAAACGGCTCCGCACGCTAGATCAGAGACGTCAGAGCTGGAGAACTGCTGATGTCCTACCTAGTAGGTGGCCCAGTGCTAAACACGCACCAGACCGGGCTGGGGTCAGCTACCTGCAACAGGCTCCCCAGGAGGAGAAAGGAATTCCATTACCTAAGGAAGGTACCTAAGGATTTGGGTCTGCAACGGAGAGAAACACTGGGAAGGAGGAGGGGGGAAATCACCAACTCACGTTCCGTAACTGTTGCTGTATCCTATCTTCTCCAGGCAGCAGATCCCAGTACCAAAACAAGTCATATTCAAAAATACATAGTCAGACAAAGTCTAGCCAGCTGCTTTTCATGATATTTCCATCTAAAACCACAAACACAAATGATGTTTTCTTTATAAAAAGAGTTTACAAAGTTCCAACATGCCCCTTATACAGCATTGCCCAGTATTTGAAGTTACTTACGGAAAACTAACTCCAAATATCACATCAGAGCAGCTCAGATTTTTTTAAAGACAAATCTTCTTACTACTTGGGTAGAAGCCAAGCTCTTCCAGGTGCATGAACTTCCTATGAACGTTACTCTTTTTAGGGTGAGTGCTCAGGATCCGACAAGAACAATACTCTCCAAGTATAAAGAAAGGATGTAATTGAATCCTATGCATGTACTACTTACATTACCAGAAAACGCCATTGTTGAATTTCAAGAAAAAGAATTAAAGTATTGATACAACCATGAAGAAACCAACCCAAGCAAAAGCAGGATTCACAAGTTCTGCTCTCATTAGTAAGAACAGAAACAAAATAGCTGAGCTCTGGGCACGCATGTTTGCACCTTGTTGGCCTAGTTTGAGAATCACGGTCAGTGACTGAAGTCTATCAGGAACATAGATCAGCCTAAGACACAGAGATCTTCCCCTAAAATGGGGGAATATCATAAAAAACAAATACCCAGTAAAAACGACCTCACCTCTCTGCTGCATAACACACAGACCAAAAGAGCTCCAAGGGAGCGACTGCCCCGGCATTTCAAGAGTGCACGGAGCATCCCCCACCAACCAGCCCCAGCTGATGGGAATTCACAACCCCACACCCCAAGGGCACTCAGCTGCTTTTAGCTCGATCTTGACCTTGCAAGACAGTTGCTGAGAAGTTCTGGAAACAGCTGGGTCCTCGGCAGGTGTAAAACTGAATAGGTCAACATGGTTGCCGTACCTTGAAGGACAACGGGAACTCTTAATGAGGACCTTAGGTCCTCATTGGATCTCATTTCTAGTGTTTGCCACGCTCTTTCTTTCCAGTTAAAGGCTGTACATACGTTGCCCTCCTGCCGATGAGGGCGTTCACTGCCAACAGGCAGACTGCCGTCAGAATAGCGGCAAGTATGTTCAAAGAAAAGTGAAAAGGAGTTAACCGTCCTGCTGAGCATGGAAAAAGGCAGTGGAGAAATTGAATTTAAAGGATTTAAATCTAGCAGCCAGATGCAGCTTCCAGAAATACTTAGGACAACATGTTACACATGCATAATCTCCGAAACACATTCTTCTGGCCCGGAGAAGCACCTGCCATAGAAAGTCTGCCATCAGCGTCTCAGCTGTTTCTGCAGCTCTACTGCAAGATGCCCCCACCCCCTTTATTTTCATAGCTTATAGGAACAAGGTTGTACGAAGGTGTTATTCCGAAAACGAGAGGATCAGTCTGCACCTCTCCCTGCTGCTTCTGGGGGAAGGGAAGCGGGAAGACACGGGCTGGTCCCAGGCTGCCCCGCGGGGACTGGGCGCTGGCAGCCTCGACACGGGGGCTGCCGGGGCCGGGGGGCTGGAGGGAGGAACCTGCACCCGGCAGATGTGAGACGGCGCTGACTCCCAAGAGCGTTAGGGAATCGGCCTTTTGGACATGGCTGGATGAGAAAAGCGTTCTCTGATCTGCTCCTATGGACGTAACGGGGCTCATACACGCAGAAATACTGTCCATAACCTCCAGACCTCTTCTTCCAAGTAGATTTCTCTGTTTCCTACGGGGTTTTGTAGTTAACACTGTGACAGAGCTTATTTGTCTCTTCCTCGACAGATGTGGTTTCACCTTCAGGTCTCCTGCTCTGATGCCCGTGCTCCCATCTCCCCACTCAGAATCCTTTTTCCTTTTGATACCGTCTCACGTGCTAACGAGCAACCCTCATCATCTTCCTGCAGCATGGAACAAGGAGGGTTGCCATTTCTCTCTAAAGAAATAAAAAGCTGTCTTTTCCTCTTCCTTCAGATAGAATACATGTATCCTTGCTCTCCTTGTTACAAATACCTGGGGCTCTCTAAAGCCATTCTAGCTCCAAAAATTTGTCATTTTTATCGTGCTGATGCTTACAACATAGTTTTTAAACAGGCAGTGAAATAACTGTATTACCTGGAATTTTTCCCTTCGTTCTACAGTTTTGGAGTTGATTTTGTTTCAAGATTTAGAGACATTTTGATGGTTACTGTTAATCCTGCAAAAAAATTGCAGGGAGTACTTAATTAATCCTTTTCAGCATGACACCTTGGGAGCAAGAGATAGCTTGTACAGCAAGGAGGGACGCAAAAATACCAGGTTAACAGCTGAACTTGGGATTTTTCAGTCAACAATGTGTTACAAAGGCATCTTCTGTGCCGCAGTCACCTTTGAACAAATTTGTAAGTAGATGAGACCAGTATGCACAATAAAAAACCCAAGGAGTGTTTAAACTTCTTGTTTGAAGTGTGATAAGTGAAAAACGTCTATTTGTCTAAATTTCAGGAGAAAAAAAAAAAAAAAGAATCTCCAAGGTCCTTTCTTTGCAACGAGCTGGTCAGTTCATCGTGCTGAGCAAATAATGGCATGTCTAATTATTGTGGGAATGGGCTAATATTATATATGACAGTAAAAGGGTTTTGGTTAACCAGAAATCATTTGGGAGAGTATAAAAG